CAATGTGGACTGATATCATGCTATTTTTTATTTCAAAATTAAATAAAGGAATGGTGAAAACAAAATCAGTTCCCAAACTGTCTTTCTTTAAGTAGAAAGACTACAGGAAGCAGAGGTGGACATCCCTGCTCTATTGCATACCCTGAGTCTGTCCCCGCTTGTCTGGGCTGTGCTGCTGCGCTCGCTGCCTGCGAGGTCCACCAAGTTGATCCTGCTGGAGATGCTGTGGTCATGTTCCTCTCCCTCCACAAACTCAGTCTGAAAACACATAAATGTCTCTCTGGATGATCTATTAAAACCCGCCCCAGGTTATTGTGTGACAGTGGGTGCATACCTTAGTCTGGGTCATAACCAGGGTAAAGACAGAGTGAGATCTGGAGCTTTTGTCATTCATTCCTGTAGCTGCTGTGGCCCTTTGTTTGTTACCAAGCTCCAACCAGCCCTGTAAGATAAGGTACTGCTAATTATGACACATTTCAAAAATTCAGAACCATCTACTTTGGTAATAATCTCAGCTTATTTCCAATTTAACATTACATGTAAGAGAAGAAAAACACCATTACAGTAGTTCTAGCTTACCTGAATGTCTCTGTAAGAGCTCACAACGTTCCTGAAAAAGTAACGAAGTAAGAGGTTCAGATTTATCCTTTTAGCTTTAATTGGAATGAGATGAACCCACAAAGAAATTATTTTCTTACGCAGAGAGCTCAGCAACATAAGGACCGTGGACTGGATGCTCCCTCACCCTTAGCTGAAAAATAAGTCCCCATTGTTATATCTTCATAATCCAGCTTCTATAATCACTTCAATAACAGAAAGGCGTTTCCTACTAGTATGTTTTGGAAACCAAACTTTCGCAAATGGGTATCATTTTTTCTGCTCTACACAAAACTTAACACAAAAAAGGCTAATTTAAAAGGAAAAAATCTTTCTACAGCCCACTGGAATAATAATACATTTTATTTGTATTGCACTTTACATTTCAACAAAATCTCAAAGTGCTAATAATGAATAAACAGCTATCTGTTAGGCAGGACTTACCGGCATCTTCCTTTGGTTTGGCTCCTCCCTAGTCACCAGCAGGTCATGAATCCTCTCATTATACACTTCAAAGTAGCTCATCTCGACATGACATTTCACCTGAAAAAGGCAAAAAATAGGTTTTCATACCTGATAGGAATAAAAACTATTTTTCTAATAACAAAATTTGCTTTTGGAGTAAAAAAAAAAACATGATTAGCCATTGAAATTTTTAACTAGCCATCCAGTTGAGTGTGAAGCTACCTCTTCCATGGAGGCCAGTTTCATAAAAAGCTCCTCACAGAACCGTGGGATGACCCCAGCCTCCTCCTCGAAGCCCATCATCCTGCAGGAAGCAGCCAAATTCAAAGCAATCAAGGTGAAAAGGTGACAGGTTTGATGGAGGGAAACTGATGCAGTGAAAGGAACACTCACGTGTATGATTTACCAGAACCCGTCTGGCCATATGCAAACAAACAGGTGTTAAATCCTTCAAAAGCCCTCTGTAACAAAGGCCTGCCCAGGGTCTCGTACACAGTCTTTTGACCTGCAAAGGTCGGATCACTGGCCTCCACCGAGCAGAAGGAGAAGTCATAAATGAAGGAGTAGCTCTGCTTGGAGTCTGGATGCTGGACGTTTGTCTCCTGGCCGTTCATGAAGATGACCTGCGAGGCCTTTTCTGCCTTCTCTCTATAATAAAGCAGAAGATACAAAACACACTTTGCTTGAATTTCTCCTCCAATAAAGTTCAAATTAAGAACAGACGAGCTATTAGGGAACTTTAGACCAGCTACATACACATAAGTACAGTGCTGTGCAAAGAGAACCTAACTATTTTTTGATAGATTTTTGTCCAATTAGAAGGTCAACATCTTTGCATTTTGTTGGGATTTATTTTCTGATAAAGTTAAACCAAATCAATCGAAATGTAACCCTCTTTCCAAATGAAAATCTTTAAAATGTGGTGCAGCAATGTATTCCACTTGGTTTCAAGTCTATTTCAGCCTTCAGCTTTTCTTTCTCTGTATTTAGCCCCATCTCTCTCTTTAAAAAAAAAACAAAACTCTGAAGTTTTCCTCCACCTGTAGAGATATCAAACATTTTGGTCTCCTGTGACCAGAGTGCCAATTCTTACATATGTCCCTTACAAGGTGTGACAAACCCGAAATATAGCGGTCCTTATCTAGAAATGATAAACATTTAAATTTTTTCCTTCTTTTTTTCCTGCATTCAGTCACTAAAAAAAGGCAGTCAACCATAGTAGTATAGAGTATAAACAGTGCGATGCTCCGGGAGATTTTCAAAGCTTGAGGTATTGTTTTTTTCTCCCATAACCCATCTGCGGTGCCATTTGCTCTCCGTTGTGCTTTTATTATTCAATCAAGTGACCTTCAAAGGCAGTTGTTTGGACTACATTTTAAATAAAAAGGAATCACAATTACAGGACTTATCCCAAATAACAATGCACACAACACTTCTGAATTTATGGTTTGTAAAAAATAAAAAAAATAGCAAAAAAATAAATTGTATAATCACCTTTTCTTTGATTGGCTTATTAAATAAGTGTCTGTAATGTGAAATGTGATTAAAAATAAATGTGACTGAATGCATAAACTTTGTTTGAGGCTCTGTAGACTCTTTAAACAGAGTGGTCCAAACATTTTGGATCAACATTTCTGCACCTTTGTTTATAGATGTGGCTGTGGCCACCCCTGGCCCCCCATCTAGCTGCACCCCTGCAAATGGGCCCTCCACTAACCTGGCACTGAAAGGTCGGACCCGGACAGCTACGGTCACTGCGCTGTTCTCCATCTTTAAGGTCTCCTGTTGCTCCTCAGTCTCCCCAGAATGGCTCAGGGATGGAGTGGACATCCTTGCAGGGTGCAGCTCCCCTTCCTGACCTGTGGTGCTTGGCTTCCTCTCCTGAACAGAAGCATGGGCTCTGGGCCCCCCTGAGGAAGCTTTGCCGGCCCTGGGAGTTGGAACAGGTTTAATCTTTTCTGCTTGTTTAACTGTGTTTTTAGGCCCGTCTTGTTTTGGTGCTCCTTTAGAAGCCAGTCTCTCAAAAACTTCTCTTTTAGCCGCAATTCTTTCAAACGGGGTCTTTTTGGTTGGCGTTTTAAACGTGGGAGCAGAATCATCCAGGTGCCTGAAGGGCCCCTTGGTGGTCAAACCTTCTGATCCCTTTATTTTAGGCCTAGTTTCTCTTAAACTTGCAGACCGAATTAAACTCTGTCTGCCGTTTGGTTCACTGAGGACTTTCGGTGCAGGCTGTGGGCCAGCCGTGCCGCTGACCCCACGCATGCTTTTATCCACGGAGGGAGTCCTGGTCCTGCGCTGCAGAGTTAGTCTCTTCTCTGGAGCAGGAGGGCTCTTCTGGCTACTTTCAGTCAAAGATTTTCCAGCACTTTTCCTCCTCGACCTCCTCTGAAGGGTGAGTCTGCCTCGGTGAGGAGTCTGCTGCCCACTGCCGCCCTTTGACAGCGCAGAAATGACATAAGTCCTGTTTTCCTGTCGGCGTTTATCAGATAACCTGCTGTCCTCAGCGGCAGATTCAGCGCCTGATATCCCATTTTTTCCCGAAGAGGTGTCTGATCCCTTTCCGTCTCTTCCGGGTGTCCTGGACGTTGATACGGACACTAAATGGTCGTAATAGGCTGTATGTTTCCTCGCCTGTACGCTAAATATAGACATCGTGATATTAATCCTCCAGATTAGTTAATTAACGGTAACTGTAAGCTTTCAAAACTTTCCTCTGCATTTAATACAGATTGAAAACGATTAAAAAACATCGAAGAAACTTTTTAAACGCAAATAGAACCCAAACTGAACTGAATGGTTCCGCTAAAAACGGAGCTACTTTGTTTATTTATTCCTTTCCTGGTCGCTTCCGCCTTCACCCGCTTCAATTTCAAATCGCTGCAGTCCGCGACCGCTGATTGGCTGAATTATAGGAAATGATTGCGTCACGGTTTTGATGCGGGCGTGCAGCCATGTTATTCTAACGCTAGGTGGCAGCACCTGCAAGCTAAATGTAAACATTTTTTCTCATTTTACCCAGTCTATTTCGTTAGTATGTTGTTTATAAATGGGGAATTAAGATAAAACCACCATTCATGTTAAGATTTAACAAACACATGCTTAAGGGTATATCTAATAAGAAAAATTTACTCAAGACAAATCTTGGTAGAAAATTTTAAAAAACTGCACGACTTTAAAACCATTAGTTTTGTGAAAAACTGTACTAAATTTAAGAAATGCTTAGAAAACACACCACTTTTTGCAATTGATATCTGTAATAGCTATTTCTTCTTCAAAGTCAGGTAAATAGAGATTTTAGGTAGAATGATGCAGCAAAACCATAAGGGTTTTATCCATCTGTTATGGAAAAACATCTGTCAGAACAGATAGGTAAAGAAAAACACATTGTCTTTATCTTTTCATTCCAAAAATGTTGGAGGGTTTAAATCCTGTTGTTTTATTTTACTTTCCTTGGAAACACAAAATGCTTATTTGAAAAATTAACTCTTCTCCATTGTTTGTGGAAATGTCTTCAAATCCAGATGTTTTGGAAGGATGTTATTAGGTGTCTAACTGAATTGTTTAAGGTAAAATTCCCATTAGAGGTTAAACTTTGTATTATTGGAATTATACCAAATGGAATGGGTATATGTTATGGGTATAAGTACATGTTACAATTTTAAGTTTGTTGTCTGTAAGTTTCTTGTGTCCAAAAAAACAACAGAAAATTCAATGAAATATATTGGAAAAATTTCCTTGGAAAAATCAGCCAAGGCAAAAAAAAAACAAATCTCACATATTTTGATGTAAAATTACTGAAAACAAAGCTGCTGCTGTTGCAGGTATACCGGGGTCTTTAGCAGTCCAGCTAGGCACCCCCTAAATCCTAAACTCACCTTTGTTTGAGTAAATTCTGAATGAATATTCTGTATTTTCTTACAATGTTTACAAAACACAAATCAAATTATACAAAATCCATGTTTATTAAAGAAACACGTAAAATAAAAAAGTAATATCTTTATCATAAACAGGGAGCTCCAGTGCAATAGAGAGGAAATCAGCAAATAGCTACTTCTTGCGACGATCATGTTTCTTTATGATGTCTATAAGGTTGTTTGTAGTAACCAGAGTGTCGTCAGGTCTCATCTTAGTCTTCTGACTTTCCCTCTTCTGTTGTTCATAGAGGTATGGTGAGTTTAGGAGCTGAGGGGGTAGAATAGACCCAGTGGGTTTGACTCTGTTCACCACCTCCAGGAACAGCCGTTTGTTGTTGTTGTTCAGGAAAGTGATCGCAGTTCCCCTGTGGCCCAGTCTCCCTGCCCTGCCAACCTAATAAGGAAACCAGGAGAATGAACCAAGAGACACGTTTTGTTTTTTATTTCGATCAAGAGTATTACACTATAAAGAAACAACATAATTTATTCATTTTTTTAAATCTTTTACAGTAGTTATAGTTATACTCTTTAGTCAGCTTGTGTAAAGTGTAAAAAACGACTGACTAACCTGGTGCACATATTCATCCATGGTGTTCGGCATGTCAAAGTTCACCACCAATCTCACGTTGACAAGGTCAAGTCCTCTGCCCAGCACACCTGTACTAATCACTACTTCAAAGTTTCCATCCAAAAGACCCTAAAGAATCAGAGCACATTTTATATAACAGAAGCTGTATAAACTTTATGAGTTTTTAGAAATATTAAAATTAATCATAATAATACCAAATGTCGAATAGTGAAACATTGGTTAGGTTTGGGTTTGTGGTTTAATAACTAAAGTTAATGAGGAAAATCCAAGTTTTTTCACCAATCATGGAGGCTCTTCAAATCATTGTATCCATATACAGCTTGCCATACTCTCACCTTAAGGATGCGGTTGCGCTCCCTCTGGGTCTTGTCAGAATGGATGGCTACAGTTGTTAGGCCTGTGACCTTGGCAACCGCCTCACACAGAAGATCAGCACCCAGTTTGCAGTCTACAAAAACCACCACAGGAGGCTGGAACAGTTTATTATCCTAGAAGGTGAAAAGTGTATTCATTACAACCACAAAATGATATCAATACTACTACCATACAATGTAAGATATGAAACTAATTTCAGTGTAAACTCATGTTTTCATTATCTGTAAGCAGAAATCAAAATTAAGAGAAATGCTAACAAACCCCAGTCTGTGTAATTAATCTATATAATGTGTTTCGTAAAGTGAATTAGGTTACTCAATTAAAGGACTTCATATTATTTTAAACGCACTGTTCCATGCAGAGCGCCTGCTCTGCATACAACAGTGTGTTTGGTTTTAATCATAATATAGACTAATAGTATAACCAGTTTAAAGGTCAAAAGACCAGATCAACCCTAAAAGATGATCTCCTAATCTACATTCAGGCTCTAGAGAATGTCATCCATCTGCCTACATTTCCTGAAATAAAACCTACTGTAAACTGTACTTGTTGCCATTTGACAATGTAACACCCAAGGAGAAATTATAGAAGGCATAAACACCTAATCCAAAAGGTTTCCAAAAGTAGAATTATAGAATGTATCACAATCTAATGAATGTATTCAACATCAATTTCCCTTTTCCTGATAATTTTTTTTTTATATCACTTAAATTTCATGCTGTTAGCTTCACCTGTTGAGAGTTTAAAAAATGCCATTGTGTTCTTAAAGGTATAGTGGAGGATTTTCGCCAATTTTTGAAAAGACCAGCCCTCTCCACTTTAAAAAAAAACAAAACGCTTATGCACAAACCTGTACTTGCTCCCGAGAGGGAACAAATATTAAACTCGTGCAGGAGCGTGCATGAGCCCATTTCTCCTCGTGCACGCTCTGTTTAAAAGTTGCTGTTTGCGTCGCTCATACAAGCTTACTTTCCAAAAGACCGTTAGCAATTTTTCCACCATGTCATTTGATAATGAGGAGGACCACTTACTTTGATAATCCATCTGTAAAAAAAAAAAAAAACAACCTCCACTATACCTTTAACTTTTCAAATAAGTTCAGGTTGCCACCAGAATGTTTCTTATTTACTCATCTGCACTTTGAATAGACTAGCCTCCAACTTCATGCTGAAAAAGTTTGACTCTCTCTTAAAAGTTGAAGCTACTGTCAGGTAAACTATGGTGTAACACAGCTTTTTTAAGCATCTCAAAGAGAACAGGCCTCCCTTTCTTTGGATAGATGTTGTTGGCCACTACTTGGATTCCTGGGCTGAGGCCATAGCCCCAAGGCTGTGGTAATTGCTGCATAAATATGCTGTAGAGAGTTTAAGGATTTCCTACATCTAGTTGCCAACTTAAAAAATAACCAAAAAAAAAAAAAACATTGCAGGACTGAGAGATAAACACACAGCTCCACTAAATATGGATGTAATTACCTAAACTAATGTGAATGTCTCCCACTGCAGTACCTTTTGTTCTGCCCTCTAACAAGTTGGTTTGCTCTTTAGAGAACAAGATCAGACAGAAAACCTTACCCTAAAGCCAAAGCGCTTCTTGACTTGCACTTTTGAAAATAAATCTAAAAACATCTGAACTTACATTAAGAATTTCAAACAGCTTCTTCTTCTTAGACGGCTCCTCCACCCAAAGTAGGATCTGCCTGATGTTAGCACACGGTTGGTTTTTCTCCCCTATAGCAATGCGTACGGGGTCATGGACTAAGCGAGCAGCTAACTCCTCTGTCCCTGCTGGGATAGTGGCTGAAGCCAGCAGAGTCTGGTGTTCCTCTGTGACATGCTCCAGAACCTCCAGGACCTGCTGCTGGAAACCCATTTTCAGCATGGTGTCAACCTACAGGATAAACACAAGAGTCCTGTGGTAAGAGTGTTTTCAAGAGATATTTATGAAAGACTACCGTATTTTCACGATCATAAGGCGCACCGTACTAAAAGTCGCAGTCTCAGTTATGTGTGCCATTACTGTATTTAACACACCGGGTTATAGGGCGCGGGTTTTATATACCGGTACATATCCTCTACTACCTTTAAATACCTGTACTGCGTATTTAAAAATAGAGCGGGAGCAAAACTGAGTATGATTGTGCTTTATTCATGTATTTATTACAAAGTATTAATCAAACCCATCGAAGTCATCATCCTCTGTTTCTGAATTAAACAGCTGTGCTAAATCAGACATGCCAATTTCTCCTTCTTCGCTGTCAGAGTCACTTTCCGTGCCGGGCGGCTCCTCGGAAATGATGCCGGCTTTTGCGAAAGCTTGAACAACAGAGCCAGCAGAAACTTTAGCCCAAGCATCTACAATCCATCCGCGAACTGTGGCGTAACTTGCCTGGCGCTGCCTTCCACTTTTCGTGAAACTGTGGTCTCCGTCTGTCATCCATCGCTCCCACGCCGCTCGCAGCCTTACTTTGAACGGCCGGTTCACACCGATGTCGAGCGGTTGAAGTTCCTTTGTCAGACCCCCCGGGATAACAGCAAGCACAGCGTTCATTTGTTTCACCTTGTTTCACATCGGCTGTGAGATGGGCACGCATGGAGTCACAGATTAACAGCGATGGTGATGCGTGGAAAAAACCACCTGGTCTCCTTACATACACCTCCCTCAGTCACGCTTTCATCATCTTCTCATCCATCCAGCCCTTTTCATTTGACTTAATAACGGCTCCAGCTGGAAAAGTCTCTTTAGGCAAAGTCTTTCTCTTAAAAATCACCGCAGGCGGCAGTTTCTGTCCATTTGCGTGGCAGCCAATCCACGCCCACACTTCCCCCTTTAACGTTCTCATGGCGGTCTCAAAGGTCCGCAGTAACAACACACATAGGGCGCGCCGCACATTTTGAGGAAAAAAAAAAGACGTTTATATGCGCCTTATAGTCGCGAAAATACGGCAGTAGCAATAGTGTAAATATAGAGCCACACATAGGTGAATACTTTTCTTCTTTTTTTTTTTTATCCATTATGAAGTTTTCTTTAAAATTACAAAAAACTTGAGCACTGGATTTTTTTTCCCCAGGTGCTTTGTCATAAATGACCTTGGATTCATACCAGGGTTTAGGACCGATATGCTGTGTCGTCACAACTGCGCTAAAATCTGGCCGATACGGTCATAAAAAAATAAGCATATCAACCATTTGACTGACATCTGGGCTCACTCTCCCCGAGTTACTGTCAGTACATTTCAGTGCAACGTATTGATGCTAAAAGTTGTCAAAATGACAGTGAAATTAGGCCAAACGCTGCACTTTAATTAGCGTGACGTTTGCAGAAACTGTTTTTTAGCACATCTACCACTTTATTTTTACATACACATTAGAAACCTGTTCATTTAGGGAATTTGAACCTTTCGAACCTTTTAGTAAATGATGTAAATTGTTCTTCCACAGTGGATTTATTTAAGTGCAGTAATCATAAAACCTGCATCTTTTTTCTTCAACTTCCCCGTGATGCACTACTTTGTGTTTATCCATCATATAAAATCTTGCGAAGATATATTTAAGTTTGTGGTTGTAAGATGACAAAGCCTGAAATGGTACAAAAAGGTTTAATTGATCCTGCAAAACACTTTATTAAGGTTGCCATACCTCATCAACCACCAGAATCTTTACTTTGTCCAGTTGAACTGCTTTCTGCTTCAGGATTTCTATGAGTCTTCCAGGTGTAGCAATAACAATCTAATAGAGAGACGGAGAAAACATAAGGATGAAAAAGATGCCATACTTAAAACTATTTAAATAACAATGGCTGGAGTGAGAAAAACTAAACAGTGACTTTACTTTGATGCTGCTTTTGAGGCGGTGGAGCTGTGGAGGAAGAGGCATGCCTCCCACTAGCAGTGCAGTTCTCATGTTAGGGATTCCCATCACCAGCTCCTTGGCCTGTCTCTCTATCTGAATGGCCAGCTCTCTTGTAGGGGTCAGGATCAGAGCCAATGGGCTGCACACGCCCTGAACCGCTTTCTAAATTATACAAATAAAATATACAAAAATAAAAATTGTTTTTTTTTTTAAAAGAGGGCAATATAGTTTCTAGCATCTTTTACAAATCCAAAAAGCACGGGGAAAGTTTTGTGAAGTGTTCAAGGTTTCTACTATTCCCGCCTGCATAGTTTCACTTCCTATAGGTGTAGACCTATAAGCAAAGAAAATCCCCATTTAATTCTTATAGCAGAAGTTTTCCGACCTTTTCTATAATAAAAAAATTCTGTCTTATAAATATATTTATCCAATTTTGTAGGAATAAAATGCATTAAAATGGAGTATAGCTAGAAAAAGGTTTCCTTTACCCACAATGTTAGATACATCTCGTTCAAACTGTTTTATAGATTTTATCCCACCTTTAGAGACTTATTGATGATTAAAAACTTTTCTTTTTCTTTTACCTCCTTCACCATCCTCTTTACTGAGTGAGGTGGCAAATAATCTTGTGTCCTCATCCAGTGAGTTTTGTTACAGTTCCTTTTTTTTTTCCAATGTAGTTACTTAGACTGTAGATCTGGCAAATTAGAAGCTGTTCTTGAAGCCCTGATTTATGAAAAATAGCACATATTTCTCTTTTGAGAATAATCTACTTTATCAAGGACCAGGTTGTGGGGGCAGCAGTCTCCGCAGAGACTTCCCTCTCTACAGATACCTCCTCCAGCTCTGCAGTGTGCTTGACTTTTTTTAAGATGTTCTGCATATTTCTCTTAGATTTAGCTTTATGTGTCTTCTTTAAACCATTGATTAATAGGCGCTCAAAATGTGTGAATCTACACAGATTAAAAAGAGTGTCCAAACAATCATCTAATGCTGGTTGGGATACTCTACCTCCAGAGCTTTTACTACCACAGGCAGCAGGAAAGCGATGGTCTTCCCTGATCCTGTGTCAGCACTGGCGATCACATCCCTCCCAGAGAGACCAACGGGCACCATCTGCATTTGGACTGGAGTCGGAGCCTCATAACCAGCTTTTTTAAGGTTGCTACTCAGCAGTGATGGAAAGCCACAGTGTTCAAACTCAACAATAGGTCTTCTGACATCATTTCCTTCTGCCTTGATGCCAAGCTCCGATCTAATTCGCTCCACCTGATCATCTGTGAGGCCTGATATAAATGGATCCTCCCAAAAGGAATAGCCTGCTTCATTTCCCACTGCGTTAAATGCTGGATGATGAGATTTAGAGCTCCCTTTGTCTGCGTTTCTATCCTTCACATCAAAGGCATCGTCTCCAGCTCTTATTCCCATTTGTAGTAAATGACTGGCTTTGCATTCAAGACTGCAAACATCATTATCAGTAGCATCACATATGTACTCCCCATAGCGACCGCACATCACACAGACAGGTTCTCCTGGCTCAGGCCATCGTTGGCTCTTTTTGAAAGATTTGACTGGATCCTCTTCATCTTCATCTTCATTATCTGAGGAGGATGGAGCTCCAGAATCACATGTTGCGCTCTCTGTCAAATGTTCACCAGTGTCACTTTGAGTTCTTGTGTCTTCACATGCGTCCTCCTGAAAAGAAGATGCCTGAGGGTTCGTTTGGTCACAATCTTCTTGATCAGTCTTGCTTTTCTTATTGAAGCCATGGCCTGGTCCTTGGACAGGTCTCTTTACCTTCAATGCTCTGGGCATAAACATTTAAACGGTTGAAATGAAGCCTGTAGGAATTCATAAAGGAATTATTAAGACCTATAAAAATTGCAAAGAGGAAATAAAACAGAACAGAAGTGATAAAAACCCGAAATGTCTCTGCAACTTTAACTGCTCATTAGCAAACAAAAACTATGAAGCAGAAACGTTCGCATTTTGAGATATTACCTAACGACACATATTTATAAAGTTATCTGACTAACATTATAACTTTCAGAAACGATAGAAAATAACACACCTTACTCGTAAAATGTGACTGCATCAAAAACACCTTTACAGTTCGCGTCAAATCTTCCAACGCTCCAAAACAACATTGGACGCGCAGTGATGACGTACCTATACACTGCAACACGGGAAATGTAGTTCTTAATTTAAACACGATTGTTTTCTAAAGACAAATGGTACAAAACGAATAAACCCAAGTGATTAAAAGAGGAAATATTTTTGGTTATGTGGTCTACACTTGGACTTTAATATTAATACAATAAAATCTGCCTTAACTACGGGAGAGGATTAGGGCCACGGAAGAAATTAAAAAAGTAAACTGATTTTTAAATTTTATTTCAGTATGAGAAAAAAGTCCGAATTATTGACTTTAATCCCAGAATTCTTACATTTTTCTCAAAATTCTGTCTTTAATCTCAGAATTCTGTCTTTTTTTCTCACAGTTCTGAATTTAATCTCAGAATTCTGACTTTAATCTCCGAATTCTAAATTAATTCTGACCGCTAAGAAACATGTCAGCATCAAGCTGTAGCCATGACTGTTTTAGAGACTAGCTCTCTTGTTTTAATGACCTTCTGCTCTTCCATTAATGAAATTGTATCAACGGTGACCCCTCTGGCACATAAAAAGTTGCCTAATTTCATCATTTTTCACCAATGTGTGACTGGCCCTCCCAAACAACTCACATCTTTGTCAGTGAAGCTGAATGCTCCAAATCTCTTCCTTCATGGTGCCCATCTACATTAAGGTCCAATATTCTGAGATTAAAGTCAGAATTCTGAGATTAAATTCAGAGTTTTGAGAAAAAAGTCAGAACTCTGACTTTTTCCCATATTAAACTGAAACAATATTTAAAAATCATTAAACTTTTTTTCTCCAATGGCCCTAATCCTATTCCTTACTTAACAGTTAAAAATATGATATAAAAACGTTATTCTTACAGTCCTTCTTTAAGAATGAAATTTAAGCAGGTCTGAAAATGAAGTTAATAATTGATTTCTTTGAAAGCTTTTTATTTGCGATTTTTGTCTAAACGAAATAAAGTAATGTTTTTTTTTTTTTTGTATTTTATGTGTTTGTCATCAATAAGTCTCTGAAGCAGGAATAAATTCTTTAAAGCGTTTTGGAATAGATGTATTTTACTTTACTGGTCAATGAGATATTTTGTTGTATTCACAATTAATATTATAGCGTCAATAAATATCATCTCTCTCTAAATTTGTGTTATGCCAACTGGAAGGGGATTAATTTCATTCTACATTGATAAAGGCATCTAAGACATAAATCTTGTAGTTCATTGAGCACACATTTTTTTTTTTTTTTTTTTTTTTTTTTTTTCCGGTCAAATGAGCAATCCAACTTATAAAACAGTTAAGAATTTTAAAACCAACAAAGAAAATTAGCTTAAGTTAAATAAAGGACAAGAAATCATTAAAAGAAACTACACTCTAATATGAAAAAATTAAGATATGACCAAGAACTACTGCAGCTGTAAATACAAGTGATATTATGAAAACAGTTTAAACTTTAGAACAAGCTGCTCTCTTAAACCACAGGATGGCAGCAGTTATACCATCATGTGAAATATCATACTTTTACATTTATAGTTAGTATGTAAACCAAAAACTGACAACAAAGATACAGCTATTAATTATTCACAACAATACACTACAATTAAAGAGGAGTAAGAATTAGGGTTCTTTATGTTTCATGGGGAGAGTTGCTCTGCAGTCATCTATGAGTCTTCTATTTAATTAAAGATACAGAACAATTGCTCAACTTTTTTAACCTCTTACACCCTAAGGGGGTATAAATAAATTTCTGCCTGACAAAAACACACAAAAGTAAATAACTTATAGCCTCAAAGCTATTAGATTTAAGAAGAAACTTTTGGTACGTCTGTAAAGGTAAGATGTCATAGAATGGTTTTCTGGTGTCAGCACCATTGTAGCTTTGACCCTGCCTGAAATATTAGGGACAAAATACAAAATATTTTGCATTTTTTGAACCTCGCCAAAATTTTCTTTGAAATAAACATTGCAAAACACTACCAAAATATTATTTATAGCACAAAAAAGTAGTACAGACTTTCAAATCTAAATGTTGTGTAAAAATATACAAAATGTGGACTCAATCAGATGAATCATATTTATTTTAGAATGGTATTAGTGAGAAATTTCTTAGGCGGAGAGGCCATTTTGGCACATTTATCCATAAATGTCACCAAACTGTACCAAATATGTTTTTTACATCAATACTGGGGGTTTGGTAAAATTACGAGGTCATGTAGCAGCTGGACCCGCCGGTGGGTCCGTAGGGTTCATTAAACTGAAACAATATTTAAAAATCATTAAACTTTTTTTCTCCAATGGCCCTAATCCTATTCCTTACTTAACAGTTAAAAATATGATATAAAAACGTTGTTCTTACAGTCCTTCTTTAAGAATGAAATTTAAGCAGGTCTGAAAATGAAGTTAATAATTGATTTCTTTGAAAGCTTTTTATTTGCGATTTTTGTCTAAACGAAATAAAGTAATTTTTTATTTTTTTATTTTATGTGTTTGTCATCAATAAGTCTCTGAAGCAGGAATAAATTCTTTAAAGCGTTTTGGAATAGATGTATTTTACTTTACTGGTCAATGAGATATTTTGTTGTATTCACAATTAATATTATAGCCTCAATAAATATCATCTCTCTCTAAATTTGTGTTATGCCAACTGGAAGGGGATTAATTTCATTCTACATTGATAAAGGCATCTAAGACAAAAATCTTGTAGTTCATTGAGCACACATTTTTTTTTTTTTTTTTTTTTTTTTTTTTTTTATCCGGTCAAATGAGCAATCCAACTTATAAAACAGTTAAGAATTTTAAAACCAACAAAGAAAATTAGCTTAAGTTAAATAAAGGACAAGAAATCATTAAAAGAAACTACACTCTAATATGAAAAAATTAAGATATGACCAAGAACTACTGCAGCTGTAAATACAAGTGATATTATGAAAACAGTTTAAACTTTAGAACAAGCTGCTCTCTTAAACCACAGGATGGCAGCAGTTATACCATCATGTGAAATATCATACTTTTACATTTATAGTTAGTATGTAAACCAAAAACTGACAACAAAGATACAGCTATTAATTATTCACAACAATACACTACAATTAAAGAGGAGTAAGAATTAGGGTTCTTTATGTTTCATGGGGAGAGTTGCTCTGCAGTCATCTATGAGTCTTCTATTTAATTAAAGATACAGAACAATTGCTCAACTTTTTTAATATATGCATTATGTAGAACCATATATTAATTTAAACAGCATCAATGTTTAAACATGTCCATATGTTCATCAGCTAGGACCTCATTAAAGTCTGGTCAGCCTTCAGGGATTTGTTTGGAAAATACAGATGTGCTCATCCTTTTCCCTGTTGGTTCATTATGAGCAGTGTTGAGCGAACTTTGGTCCCCATCAATGGCGTGACTATCGGTAAGCAGAGACTGCAGTTGCTTAGGGGCCCCTGACTTCTTAGGGGCCCCGTCACTGACACCTGGTTGGCCCCCTACGCAATTTTGGACTAGGACATCTCTTTTAGCTGTAATGGTGCGAAAAATTCCTCTGAAACCCACCTGATACTAGGATGGCTGACCGGACCGTATTTATACCCCAACACATGGCAGATTTCAACATGATGGTGAGCCGTTTAAACACGACACCAATAGCAAAGCAGACAGAGGTACTTTTAATTACTATGTTAATAACTGTGTATAGTTCATTAGATGGTTGGTAAAAAAATACACTCATAATATGGTTCAAACCGCAATAAAGATCTTAAAAGAACAATGTATTTGAGTATTTTATTTTTTACAATACGACTTGGAATTATGGGTAACCCCGAGCGTAGATTAAAACCATAACCATTACGTACAATGTGTTAGCAATGATGGATACCAAAAAGAGGTACTTAAGCAGATTCCAGAAAAGAAAGCAAAGAAGAGCTGCTGGAAGAACAGAAAAAACTTCCCAAAATTAACACGTTCTTTCAAAGAACCGAAGAGGCAGAGGTGGAGGTTGCTGCTACAGTGAGTAAAAATTGCGACCAGGAGATGAACGGTGAGAGTGTGGGTGAGGAGGGGGGCTTTGAAACTCAAGGTAGCCCGATAAGACTAATTTTACAGCAGAATATACTAAAGCAGGCATCCCCAAAGTCGGTCCTCAAGGGCCGCTGTCCTGCAGGTTTTAGAGGTTTCCTTGCTCCAGCACAGCTGGTTTTAATTGAAAGCTGATTAACAGGCTTTTGCTCAACTGCAATCATCATAATCAGCTGTGCTAAAGCAGGGAAACCTCTAAAACCTGCAGGTCAGCGGCTCTCGAGGACCGACTTTAGGGATGCCTGTACTAAAGTATATCCATGTCTAGTGAAGGTGAAGAATGATGAAATGATGAAGTGTGTATGTATGGGGCACATTTCGGGTCAGTTGTCTACGGCAGCTGCGGATGGGGTGTTGTACATCATATGGGGCCCACCCAGATAATTTTGTGTCATTACGCCATTGGTCCCCATATGGCCACCCCAATAATATTTTCTAGAACCGCCACTGCAGACAGCTTCAATTATCTTATTGTGGTCTGTTTGTTAAATTTCAAAATGTAGTAAATATTAATATCTAAAATTTATCGGAAAAAATATGCCTCATGGGTAGTCAAAGTAAAAGGGGTTGAGACTGATAATACGAACAACCCAATGGTAAGAACCTGCAATTCTAAACAAAAAAAGTGGGCTAGTTATTTACCTTAATCTTAAAATATTTATTTGACATATAATACACTAATAACACGATTATCCTTAGAAATAACCTCTTTAATATAGCCTAGTGCGGAGGTCTTAGACAGGGGGTCTGTGACTGCTAGGGGGTCCACGGAGGCACTTGCATGCGGGTCACGACAGTTTTGGTTGATCAGACCAATTTTTTCCACTAATTGAACTGCTTTTAAATACACATTAACATGAATTAAACACACTGTAGTACACAGATAAATGGAGGCAGAAGATGTCTTTCAGTCATCAATGCACACATTCAGCAACACACAGGAGCTCTTTCAAGCTGTGCACCGTTTCATTCACAACACCTGTCCCATTAAACAGGAATCAGAATCAGAAATACTTTAATAATCCCAGTGAGAAATTACTTTCATTATATTGTGTAATAGAGTGACTATAGTAACATCCATCCATTTTCTGACACGCTTGAGGGGTGTTGGTGCCTGCCTCCAGCTGTCAACAGGCGAGAGGCGCCAATCCATCGCAGGGCAACACAGAGACAAACAGGACCAACAACCATTCACATACACTCTCACATCTAAGGAGAATTTAGAGAAGCCAATTAACCTAACTGTCATGTTTTTGGACTGCGAGAGGAAGCCAGAGTACCCAGAGAAACCCACGCATGCTCAGGGAGAACATGCAAACTCCATGCAGAAAGACCCCGGGAATCAAACCCACAACCTTCCTGCTGCAAGGCAGCAGTGCTACCCACTGAGAAGCCCCGACAATAGGACCAGTTTGATAAAATATATATTATTAGGGGGTCCTTGCTCCATCTAGCCAACACTAAAGAAACACGCCAGGCCTAATGAACATACTCAGTACTGACTGTTTTGATGCCAACAACACGCCATAAATTAGAATTACATGGTTGTTGGCTTAAAGGAAAACAATGTATTGATAAATTATTAACAAGCTTCTGGAACCATGTCACCATAGCAGATGCAATTACATGCAATATACCCTATAATACTGTGAAGAAACGCACGAAGCTGCCGTATCCGACAGCACCGGAAGGCACCATATGCGCATGCGAACTACCCAACAAAGGTGCGGGACTGGAGAAGCTCGTAGCGGTGCGGCAGGACAGCAGCAGAACAGAAGGTAGACTGAATGGTAAATTTATGATGTTTTATAGTTAATGAAAGAGAGAAGACGTCTGCTTCATGGACAAAATAAAGGAGACGCTGCTTTTCTCACTTCATTCAAAGAAGAGCCGTTTTCCCTGAAAATCCTCGAAAACCCGGCTGTCATTTGAACCGGAGTCCATTTCAGCTGCAGAGAGCAGAATGGATGAAAAACCTCTGGAGTAGCAAAATCCCTGCGTTTTATGAGTGAAAGAAGCAGCAGGGAGGTTCCAGCCGCCTATTGTTCCTGTGGTGGGATGCTACCTTTCTAGGTCTGCCTGCACTCAGCATCACAGGAAGGAATATGGGAGAAGTTCAGGACGGCAGGGATGAAAACAAGAGCTTTGTTGCTGCAGCTATAAAGTCCTTCGAGCATTATGACTTTTCCCGAGCCAAGATCTGTTGCAGCCTCAGATGGCTGCTGGCAAAGGCATATGGTACAGGTAGGAACAACACTGCTTTTTCTCTTACATTTCATTATAGATATCACAGATTTAAATCACTGTGTGATAAAATTCAGATTTTTGTTTTACCATCTATTCATTTACATTTGAACTACACACAATATTACACTAGATAAAGATGTCCATGTAAAGCAGCCTCCTTTATTTGTCCTTCCTCTACTATAACTCAGTTTTATAAACCAGATACTATTTTTGTTTTTGTTTTATATAGATTGTTTAAAACTGTCTTTAAATAAAAATAAAAAAAGCCTAAAACTCTACATCTAGATAAAAACTACAAAGACAAGCATCACTTTTTGGTAGAACATACTATTTCTTAGGCAATATGGATCCTGGTGTTGCTGATCTATCATGATCCATGTCTGTCTGTTATTTTGATGAGCATTTCAATTTCATATTTAGAACAAAATAGAATAAAATAGAATACTATAAAATAGAATAGGAAATTGCTTTATTGTCCCACAATGGGGGAAATGCTGGTGTTACAGCAGCAATAAGATAGAAAAATTGGCACACAAATGTGGACCTTAGAAAAATATATAAGAATAACATAATAGTGAAGAGTTTAAAGATAAACAATAAAATACTGTACTGTAAAGTTTTAACAATATAAAAACTGTGCACCTGGAGAATGAATAACCACTGTAATTTTTTACAGTAATGGATATTTGAAAACAGCAGCAATGTCAGATATTCAAAATGACAGCAGCATGTTGTTTAACAGACTAAGATAGAAATTGTCCAAAATCAGGAAGAATGTAACAACTTATTGAGGTTGTTTGGAACAGTGATGGTTATAAAGTCTTACAGCTGCTGGGAGGAAAGATCTGTGATAACGCTAACTGATGCATTTAGGGTGCAGCAGTCTGTAGCTAAAGGAAATCTCCAGTTCTGTAGCATATTTTGTGCCGTAAAAAGGAGTTCCCCTCCATTCACCCCAAACTCTACCATCTGAGTCATAAAGACCTGTTGGGGCATTAAGACCAGAGTTAGTCCATCTAATTGCCAAGCAGAACTTGAATGCTCAATACATAATAGATAAAATCATACCTAATACTGCAGGCAATCTGTTATGATCATATTACATACATTTTTTGTGATGATACTGTACAGAATCCTTCGTATTGTTTTTAATTTAGAGATTTTGAAGGATCATAATGTAAGTATTCACTCTTGTTCTGTAAAAACAAAGCAAATGTGTCTATGACACCAAGGGGAAAGCAAAAAAACAAGTAAGTCAGTGTATTTGAGAGTAGATGGCTGGGTTTATTTCATAAAAAATTGGAGGATATGATTTGACACCACATAAAAGGGGAAGTATTTTCCTGGTCCAACTTAATTTTTCTCACATCATTTCACACCCATCTGTCCATCTTGTCTTGTCCTGGATTGTCCACACAAATGTGGACCTTAGAAAAATATATAAGAATAACATAATAGTGAAGAGTTTAAAGATAAACAATAAAATACTGTACTGTAAAGTTTTAACAATATAAAAACTGTGCACCTGGAGAATGAATAACCACTGTAATTTTTTACAGTAATGGATATTTGAAAACAGCAGCAATGTCAGATATTCAAAATGACAGCAGCATGTTGTTTAACAGACTAAGATAGAAATTGTCCAAAATCAGGAAGAATGTAACAACTTATTGAGGTTGTTTGGAACAGTGATGGTTATAAAGTCTTACAGCTGCTGGGAGGAAAGATCTGTGATAACGCTAACTGATGCATTTAGGGTGCAGCAGTCTGTAGCTAAAGGAAATCTCCAGTTCTGTAGCATATTTTGTGCCGTAAAAAGGAGTTCCCCTCCATTCACCCCAAACTCTACCATCTGAGTCATAAAGACCTGTTGGGGCATTAAGACCAGAGTTAGTCCATCTAATTGCCAAGCAGAACTTGAATGCTCAATACATAATAGATAAAATCATACCTAATACTGCAGGCAATCTGTTATGATCATATTACATACATTTTTTGTGATGATACTGTACAGAATCCTTCGTATTGTTTTTAATTTAGAGATTTTGAAGGATCATAATGTAAGTATTCACTCTTGTTCTGTAAAAACAAAGCAAATGTGTCTATGACACCAAGGGGAAAGCAAAAAAACAAGTAAGTCAGTGTATTTGAGAGTAGATGGCTGGGTTTATTTCATAAAAAATTGGAGGATATGATTTGACACCACATAAAAGGGGAAGTATTTTCCTGGTCCAACTTAATTTTTCTCACATCATTTCACACCCATCTGTCCATCTTGTCTTGTCCTGGATTGTCCACACAAATGTGGACCTTAGAAAAATATATAAGAATAACATAATAGTGAAGAGTTTAAAGATAAACAATAAAATACTGTACTGTAAAGTTTTAACAATATAAAAACTGTGCACCTGGAGAATGAATAACCACTGTAATTTTTTACAGTAATGGATATTTGAAAACAGCAGCAATGTCAGATATTCAAAATGACAGCAGCATGTTGTTTAACAGACTAAGATAGAAATTGTCCAAAATCAGGAAGAATGTAACAACTTATTGAGGTTGTTTGGAACAGTGATGGTTATAAAGTCTTACAGCTGCTGGGAGGAAAGATCTGTGATAACGCTAACTGATGCATTTAGGGTGCAGCAGTCTGTAGCTAAAGGAAATCTCCAGTTCTGTAGCATATTTTGTGCCGTAAAAAGGAGTTCCCCTCCATTCACCCCAAACTCTACCATCTGAGTCATAAAGACCTGTTGGGGCATTAAGACCAGAGTTAGTCCATCTAATTGCCAAGCAGAACTTGAATGCTCAATACATAATAGATAAAATCATACCTAATACTGCAGGCAATCTGTTATGATCATATTACATACATTTTTTGTGATGATACTGTACAGAATCCTTCGTATTGTTTTTAATTTAGAGATTTTGAAGGATCATAATGTAAGTATTCACTCTTGTTCTGTAAAAACAAAGCAAATGTGTCTATGACACCAAGGGGAAAGCAAAAAAACAAGTAAGTCAGTGTATTTGAGAGTAGATGGCTGGGTTTATTTCATAAAAAATTGGAGGATATGATTTGACACCACATAAAAGGGGAAGTATTTTCCTGGTCCAACTTAATTTTCTCACATCATTTCACACCCATCTGTCCATCTTGTCTTGTCCTGGATTGTCCGCCAGCTTTGGAAAGTCCCATCAAAATCACATTAAAACTGTGGATAAACAGAGTTCATCATTCAACATTGAATCACATAATAGATAAAATCATTAGCAGCTCTTATTCTTACATAATTTTATAAGTACATTTGTTTGTTTAATTAATTTAAATAATAATAACTCTTCTAAAAACAACAAAGTCAGACACGGAACAAAAATATCGTGTATTTAGATAATGCTGTTTTTAATAATATATTGACAAAAAGATCTTCATAATTTTCTATTCATGTCTTTCCTATTGCAAAAATGGGACCTAGAAAAATTTAAGAATACATAATGAAGAGTTTAAAATAAACAATAATACTGTACGTAAGTTACAATATAAATGACCTGAGAATGAATACACTAATTTACATATGGATTGAACAGCGCAATGTCGATATTCAAAATACAGCGCAGTTGTTTAACAACTAGATAGAAATTGTCCAAAATCAGGAAGAATGTAACAACTATTAGTTGTTGAACAGTGATGGTATAAAGTCTTACAGCTGCTGGAGGGCGGTAAAGAATCTGTGATAGCTAAAAAGGGTTCCCATTACCAAACTCTCAGTCTAAGACTTTGGGGCATTAAAAGTTAGTCCACAATCCAAGCAGAACTGAGCTAATCTAATAGTAAATCAACTAATACTGACAATCTGTTATGATCATATTACATACATTTTTTGTGATGATACTGTTAAATCCTTCGTATTGTTTTTAATTCAGAGATTTTGAAGGATCATAATGTAAGTATTCACTCTTGTTCTGTAAAAACAAAGCAAATGTGTCTATGACACCAAGGGGAAAGCAAAAAAACAAGTAAGTCAGTGTATTTGAGAGTAGATGGCTGGGTTTATTTCATAAAAAATTGGAGGATATGATTTGACACCACATGAAAGGGGAAGTATTTTCCTGGTCCAACTTTATTTTCTCACATCATTTCACACCCATCTGTCCATCTTGTCTTGTCCTGGATTGTCCACACAAATGTGGACCTTAGAAAAATATATAAGAATAACATAATAGTGAAGAGTTTAAAGATAAACAATAAAATACTGTACTGTAAAGTTTTAACAATATAAAAACTGTGCACCTGGAGAATGAATAACCACTGTAATTTTTTACAGTAATGGATATTTGAAAACAGCAGCAATGTCAGATATTCAAAATGACAGCAGCATGTTGTTTAACAGACTAAGATAGAAATTGTCCAAAATCAGGAAGAATGTAACAACTTATTGAGGTTGTTTGGAACAGTGATGGTTATAAAGTCTTACAGCTGCTGGGAGGAAAGATCTGTGATAACGCTAACTGATGCATTTAGGGTGCAGCAGTCTGTAGCTAAAGGAAATCTCCAGTTCTGTAGCATATTTTGTGCCGTAAAAAGGAGTTCCCCTCCATTCACCCCAAACTCTACCATCTGAGTCATAAAGACCTGTTGGGGCATTAAGACCAGAGTTAGTCCATCTAATTGCCAAGCAGAACTTGAATGCTCAATACATAATAGATAAAATCATACCTAATACTGCAGGCAATCTGTTATGATCATATTACATACATTTTTTGTGATGATACTGTACAGAATCCTTCGTATTGTTTTTAATTTAGAGATTTTGAAGGATCATAATGTAAGTATTCACTCTTGTTCTGTAAAAACAAAGCAAATGTGTCTATGACACCAAGGGGAAAGCAAAAAAACAAGTAAGTCAGTGTATTTGAGAGTAGATGGCTGGGTTTATTTCATAAAAAATTGGAGGATATGATTTGACACCACATGAAAGGGGAAGTATTTTCCTGGTCCAACTTTATTTTCTCACATCATTTCACACCCATCTGTCCATCTTGTCTTTTCCTGGATTCAAATATCTGCATGGAGTTTGTATGTTCTCTCTACTCTGATTTCCTCCCACAGTCCAAATATATGCCTCGCAGGTTAATTGGTCTCTCTACATTAACCTTAATTTGTGTGAGATTTTTTGGCTTGTGTGTACAGAAGTTTCTACAATAAAGTTGTTTTTTTTTCCAATCTGGTCCAAATTTTATGTATCATGCAAAAATCTTGTCATCTAAGCGGAAAAGTTTGTTATTTTGACATAAGATAATAATAAAACTTTATGTTGTGTCTGTTGAACCCATCTGCTTTGGTGCATTCAGCACAGCTTGGTTTGTTTGGGCTTGTCCTTCCTCACTGCTGTTTTGTAACAAACCAGTAAACATGAGATCCCTTGCAGACCTTCTGTGTATTTTCAGTCAGGACTGAATGAAATGAGTTGATTCCAAAAATACAGCCTTCCTCAGGGAGCGGGAGGGAGGCAGGGAAATAAAAGAGAGTGAGCGGGCTCATATCCAGATCCCTGCCTACGCTGTACCAAATGTTCACATTCATCCAGTTGAACTCGTTGCGGGAATAAATGAGATCATCAAGAATATGGAAGTGTGTGCAAGATACAAGCCACAAAGGGGATCATCTGCCAGAGAATGTAGTAGCACATCCTATAGTGATCTGTTTTTAATGCATAGTTTCATATGATGTGGTTTATTGAAATCACAGTGATGCATAGATTCACTGAGTCAGACACGACTGCCTGGTTTTTAAGGAGAAACAGCAGCGTTTCCATGAGGAATGGAAAAAGTATAACTCTTAAGTGTTTTCTGTTGTTGTATATGTATAAAAAGAGAACAGAAAAAGTATGCATTTGTTTCACACCCTCAATTAGCTAAAAATGTCTGCAGATTTTGAAAGCCCAAACCAGAACCTGACTGGAAAATTGGGTTGAAATCTGGAAAGATAAAGAGTATTTTCTCTATGTCCTCGTGTTACTGAAAGTTTTGTGCAGTTATTTACTTTATGAAATACAACACCAAATTCTGTTTGATCACCTCCTCATCAAGATCTAATTCAAATAGAATTGAGGGTATCAATAATATAGATAAATACTAAAATATAAAGGTGCTTGGAAATGGAGATAAATAGCAAATGAAGGAGAGTTTCCTGAGTAAAAATTTACATTTTTAACCATGCAAAGGACAATTGAAGACTAGAAATTTAGGCACATTTCTTTCTTTTTTATATGTTAAGCTTATAGCTCAGTTTTATAATTCAAACCATTTCTGTTTTTCTTTTAATTGCACACCAACCTGTTTATTGTAGTTTCCCTAATCTGATTGACCTAATTTTGGTTGTTTTAAGTTAATGTTCTTCAACCTTTCATTGTTGAGTCTGTGTCTGTGACTTCATCCTTTTCTCTAAAATACATAAATTGAAAAAATTGTTGGTAGCCCTTATTTAATAAAGGAAAACTCCACAATGGTCCCAGAAATAACTTGAATCTTACAAAAGGGATAATGAATAAAGTTATATGATAATGAACAAATGAAAATCTGTCAACCATGCTTCAAGAGAATGGTTTATGAATCAGAGTTGTTCTTTTTTTTTTTTTTTTAGTTTTTACAGCATGAGTGGCTAATTTTTATGGACAGTAGGCTGACAGGAAAGGGTATGAGAGAGGAGGGGGAGAGACTTGCAGAGTCTTTGGTGGCACCAACCACACCATGTTTTTTTTTATTTATTTATTTATTTATTTTTTATATATACTATAAAAATCACAGAGGGAAATTACTTCTCTGCATTTAACCCATCCCCTTAGGGAGCAGTGGGCTGCCATTGTAAGGCGCCCAGGAAGCAGTGTGAGGTTAAGGGTCTTGCTCAGGGAGCCAGAGTGGCAGCCTGTGGGAGTGGGGGATCAAACTTACAATCTCAGGATTCAACGCCCTATGCCCTAACCACTAGGCCGCCACTCCCTAAAATGTAAAATGTGTAAATCATTCTCCGTGTTTCACAGTAGGAACAGTGTTCTTTTCTTTATATGCTTCATTTTTAATCTGTTAACATAGAGCTGATGTGCCTTGGTTAAAAATAAAATTTTTTATCTAATCTGTGCATAGGATAGTCTCCTCTGTGGTAATCTCCCTTTAAATCCACTTTGGCATCAATTGTTGGCAAACAACAATCGACTTTCCCCCCCAAACAACAGACGTCATTCAGATGTTGTTTTTTAGGCTAAATCTGGTCGGTCCATCATAGTCTTGATTTAGTCCAAAAAACATTGTTGAAAATTGGGCCATGTTTGCTCCGTCTGATTTTGTCCCACTTTAGTCCAATAATAGAGTTGAATAGACGTTGCAAACGCAGTTTTCAATTATCTTAAAATGATAGATTTTCACCTTTTCAACCAATTGTAGATGTTGTTTGGATGTAAATCATGTTGTCTTTTCAGTGTCATTTCAACCGGTTTTTACTCGGTATGTTAATCTCTTTAGAATTTTCTGGGCGATAGTGTTACAATCCATACTTTTGGTCTTTTTTATTTGTCATCACTTTTCTTACTGCTTTCAAACCCAGGGAGTTTGGAAACAGTCCCATAGATCTTCAATTTCTGAATAATATGTGCAACTCTAGTCACAGGAACATCAAGCTGCTTGGAGATGGTCCTATAGCCTTTACTTTTAATATGCTTGTCTCTAAATCTATTCCTAATATCATGAGACAACTCTTTCTTTCACTACATCTGGTCCATGTTGAGTGTGGTACACACCATGTCACCAAACAGCACAATGACTCTCTGTAGCCCTATATATAGGCTCACTGACTGATTACTACATTATAGATCCTTGTGATCCTAATTAGTGAACACAATATGTCCCTTTGGTCATATTATTTTTCTAGGGGTACAATCATCTTTGTCCAGGCCCTTTTTTTATTCATTCTAGTAAAGCGTGGTTAAAAAGCAATGTCTGATTTTCATTTGAGAGCTGTTGCCTTGCAGCAAGAAGGTTCCGAGTTTGATTCTGCATGGAGTTTGCATGTTCTCCCCATGCATGCGTGGTTTCTATCCGAGATAGGCACCGGCCTCACTTCGACCCTGACAACGACTGAGCGGGAGAAGGTGGATGGAAGGCATTTAATTTTTTTCGTTTTCATAGAATTTGTGCAAACATCCAGAGGAAATCAGTGGTATTTGGATAAGCTCTGCTGCATACTTCCCTTCATTATAATCATGCTGAGTTCATCTTTAAATGTCCTTGTTTCCGATTATCAGCCATGATGATTGACAGCTTTTTATCTCTGTTCATCGGATACATGTAGTGGTGGATGGAAAGGTGCACAAGATAGCATATGATCCTGTTATGGTAGCCTCATGCATGCTGCTTTTCTGTAAAATTCAGGCTGCTTTCCTGGTGTTAACTTACTCCCAAATCATCCCGAGTGCATTTTTTAACTCTAATCGAAAAAAAAAATAAAAAATTTTAATCAAATGCCCTTATTCTACATATATATATATATAACTATAAGAATTAGTGCCAGTCTAGCTGAGATAAATAAAATGAAAGTGCATATTTAGTAAAATGCTTGCCGACTCTGGTAAATACCTTCCAGCAGGTGATGAACAAACTCATGTGCAGCGTGTCCCTTTGAAGAGGCAGGCAGTGAGGAGGGTGTTCCCAGAGAGCTGAAAGCCTCCCAGATAAAGATGAGATGAATCGATTGGGTTCCTCTTCTCCTGCAGTTTCTATAGCAACACTAAGGTCTATCCACATGCATTCATGTCAAGAGATAATAAAAACACGCATAGGACAAGAGTAGCTCTTTCAGAAAAAAGAAAGATTTTAAATAGTCTAATTTAGCTCCTAATTGTTTTATTTATTTATTTATCTGAATTTCCTAACTTTCTCTTTTGCTTTTCTTGAGGTTGTGAAGACTAAAGGTCAATTATTTCTCTTTGTCTCGTCTTTTTTCAAATTTTTGCTCCAAATTACACAGTTTGCTAGATTTTAATGAGAATGAGAACCTATGAATAATCAATTATTTAAAAATTCACAGCCTGCTGCTCGTCCCATAAATTTAACATCTGTCATGGTAAAGCTTTTTAGCAATTAAGAACTCCATTTCAATTTACTCCATTCTATTTCTTTCCTGCTTTTAAACAGACAGCGTCCCTGCAGAACTAAAGGACCCCTTCTACACTGACCAGTATGAGCAGGAGCACCTGAAGCCACCTGTGGCCAGCCTCCTGCTATCTGCTGACCTGTACTGCAGGGCTGGCAGCCTCATCCTGAAGAGTGATGCTGCCAAACCGCTTCTGGGTCACGATGCTGTCGTCCAAGCGCTGGCGCAGCGTGGTCTCTACGTCACAGACCAGGAGAGACTGGTCACTGAGCGGGACCTGAGAAAGAGACCTCTGCAGATGGTGAGGAGCATTATTTTCATCCTTTTTTTTCTTTTTTTTTAAAGATATAATGAGAGATACAATCTGACACAGAACAAGTAAAATTAGTGCATTTTTTTCTTGAATTGAGCAGGTAAGTGTGACACTTTGGTTATGGAATACGAAAATTTACAATTAGAATAAGGAAAAACATCTGCAGTCTCTTATTTCCCGGGGCAAAAGTGGCATCGGATGCAGGAGTTTGCCCTGCAGCCGGAGGGTTGTTGGTTCAAGCTCCAACTCCAGTTCTCAGTGTCATTATGTCCTTGGGCACAACGCTTCATCCGCATTGCCTACTGGTGGTGGTCAGAGGGGTGGCGCCAGTGTACGGCAGCCTCGCTTCTGTCAGTGAGCCCCAGGACAGCTGTGCACTGCAAAAAATTAAAATCTATATGAGTCATTTTTGCTTAAATTAAGTAAATTTTTTTCTTGAATTGAGGAGATACGTGAGACACCTTGCCAATGGAACAAGACAATTTACATTTAAAATAAGAGAAAAACAATTGCTTTGTCTTATTTCAAGTGAATATTATCTAATTATCTTATTTTAGGAGTAGAAATGCTCATTTCATTGGCAAACCATCTTATTTACCTTTAAAATTAAGGGTAAATACACTTATTTTAAGAAATTTTGTACCGTATTTTCACGACCATAAGGCGCACCGTACTAAAAGGCGCACTCTCAGTTATGTGTCCCATTTCTGTATTTAACACACACATAAGGCGCACCGGACTATAGGGCGCGTTTTTTATATACCGGTACATGTCCTCTACTACATTTAAATACCTCTACTGCGTATTTAAAAATACAGCGGGGGCATAACTGAGTATGACTGTGCTTTATTCATGTATTTATTACAAAGTATTAATCAAACCTGGCAGCTGGCCGTGAGACAGAGACATCGCAGATGACACAGCGCTGTGATCACTCCTAAATTAACTTAAAATCCTGAAACCTGCCGACAGAATATGTTCGCTTTTATTACCGGTATCCTGGTGCCTGCAGTTTCAATTATTTAGATGAAAAACACCTGCCAGCAGCCGCGGTGAACGAAAGGATTTCTGCTGTCGGTGCACCGCTGGTATGTGGGGGTCTGAGCGCCTCCGACAGAAATAGATAATCTGGATGAACTGACTGCAATTATTAAGTTTTCAGGTGGACTTTCTCACTTAAAAACATATTAAAACTACTTTATTCCCACTGATCACAGCAAATATAGCTGCAAGATTAAGATTATTTAGATGAAAAAACACCTGCCAGCCACCGCGCTGAAGAGGAGGAGACGCTGCTGTTGAATTAAGCTTTCAGGTAGAAAAATAGAGCGGGAGCAAAACTGAGTATGATTGTGCTTTATTCATGTATTTATTACAAAGTATTAATCAAACCCATCAAAGTCCTCATCCTCTGTTTCTGAATTAAACAGCTGCGCTAAATCAGACATGCCAGTTTCCCCTTCTGCGCTGTCAGTCACTTTCCGTGCAGCGCAGCTCCTCAGAAATAATGCCGGCTTTTGCAAAAGCTTGAAGAACAGAGCCAGCAGACACGTTAGTCCATCTACAATCCATCCGCAAACGGTGGCGTAACTTGCCCGGCGCTGCCTTCAACTTATCCTGAAACTGTGGTCTCCGTCTGTCATCCATCGCTCCCACGCCGCTCGCAGCCTTACTTTGAACGGCCGCTTCACACCGATGTCGAGCGGTTGAAGTTCATTTGTCAGACCCCCGGGATAACGGCGAGCACAGCGTTCATTTGATTCACCTTTTTTTTCACATCGGCTGTGAGATGGGCACGCAGCGATGATGATGCGTGGAAAAAAACACCATGTCTCCTCACATAGGCTACACCTCCCTCAGCCACGCTTTCATCATCTCCTCTTTCATCAGAGCGCTGTCTGTCTCGCTGTCAACTCCCAGATCAGCTTCTCTGATTGGTTGATGCGGCGCGTCCAGCAGCAAAACTTCAATTTTTCCATCTTGAGCAGCAGCAGCGCGACATGCTGCACCTGCGGCTCAAAACGCGCTGCAGGACCTTTTGCTGCACCTATACGCGCGTCAACCATTGACTTTGCATGTAAACTCGCTGCTTCTGCTGCACCTGCTGGGTCCGGTTCACACCGATGTTGAGCGGTTGAACAACGAGCACAGGGTTAATTTGTTTCCCCATGTTTTTCACATCAGCTGTGAGATGGGTACGCATGGAGTTACAGATTAATGGTGATGAGTGGAAAAAAAACACCTGGTCTCCTTACATTCAGCCACTCTTTCATCATCTCCTCAATGAGGTGGTCTCAAAAGTCGCAGTTACAACACACATAGGGCGCACCGCACCATAGGGCGCACCGCACATTTTGAGGGGAAAAAAAGACGTTTAAGTGCGCCTTATAGTCGTGAAAATACGGTACTTATTTCTAGATGGTTTTTGCAGTGTGGCTATGATATAGTTCTCCACCACCAGTGTGTGAATGTGTGACTGGATGAATGACTGTAATGCACTTTGGTCAAGCTTCCTGACTTGAAAAAGCAATTTATTAGTACAGCCCATTTACCATTTCAAATGCATTATATCTAATTATCTTATAAGTCTAAAAATACTCATTCCATTGGCAGATCATCTTATTTATCTACTCAAATTAAGGGTAGATACACTTATTTCAAAACATATTTTACTAATTTTAGATTCTTTTTGTATTGTTTTTGTTTCTTTTCAACGGACATCAACTTTAGCAGTATGGCAAACAAAAATAACATATCCCATTGGTCCTGAACACTAAGTGTACAAAATGTCTGGCTAACATAAAACCTCCTTGTTATTATCATGATATAACAACACAACAAAATCTGGTTTAAGCATACTGTCTGTTTCCATTACAGTTAAAGCTCCATACGCCACACATTCTTTAAAGCTAAATTATCAGTGTTTTGAATAAGATGACTTTAAAGTCTTCCTGCTGAGTAGGAATGAGGTTTCCTCATTATTTTGGGGGCAAAATCTCAGTAGGATCCATTGCTGGTTCAGTGAATAGCAATTGAGATGCAATTAACACACAGTGTGCCTGCAGTCTGTTTGTAGACCCTTGCTGCTTTTATTTGTCCTCTATGCTAGCTCAGAAGTTATTTAAGTTTTTGTCAAGGTTTACGCTCGAGAGTTATTGGGAATAATATGCTGTTCACATGTCTGTTTTTAGATCATTTTATTTATAAATAAAGAGCTTTACATATGTTTCTTACTTCTAATTAAAGTGAAATAATACAGATCCTGATGAGGGGTTAGATGACAATGATAGAAATGGGTAAATGTGTGGAAATAATAGTTATGGAGGAGCTGAAATAGGAAAACATGTCTCCTTCAGGAAAAAACTTTTCAATCTGTCGGTTTCTTTTAGAGAACAGAACACTTAAGTTCAAACTGCTCCAGTAGAGTCAGTAAATTCTGCTGCATGGCACTTTTCGCTAAACATCCTTCCTAACTCAGCGTTTTGTGTCGGGAGGAAGAATTTTAGTATTAAGCAACTCTACATGTTGTCCAAAGCATCCTTACTGGGTCGGTCAGAAGAGGGGGATGCTGATGATGTCGGACTTGTGTCATAACGCTGCATATTTTCTGACTTTTTCGCTGGGTTTCTAATTTTGATTTAGCTTTGCAGCATTATTTTCTCCATCACCCTCTTTTTTTGTCACTTTCCCGCCTACTCACCCTTCTCTCTCGCCATGTGATGAATTTCCACACGTGATAATGCAGAAACCAAACCGTGGATCCCACCCACTTGGCTGCCAACGCAGATTCTGTATCCTTTCTGGCTCTCTGTTTTCCACCTGAAGGAGCTATAGATGAAAAGCAGGGCTGGAGTGGCAGTCTGGAAGCAGGGCTTTCTATCCTCGCTCTTTAAAGCTACAGTGTGTAATTTTCAGCGACATCTAGCGGTCAGACTGCAGACCGCAGCAACATGAACATCTCCCCCCCACCGCTTCTCCCCCCCAACAGTACGGCGAGCGTTACGGGACAAAATTTCTTCCACGACGTCCACATCACCTACCTTCTCAAGTGATGAGGTTTGTTTACATAGATAATTTTACAGATAGTATTTCATTAGTCTGAGTAGGGTATAGATTTCATGTAGACTTAAGATAATAAATATACCCGTTATTTTTTCTACATCGTTGTGACGTTTTGGTGAGCTGCTTTGCATGGTGATATAAACAGACGAAGTAATTGTAGTCATTAGTTTAACAGCGAGATTGTGTTCGCTGGAAGAATATATATTCCCCGTTTACAGAGTCTAAGTCATTTTGGTGGCACGGGGGTTACAACGCGAGGAAGAGGGAGAGGACGAGGGCGAGGGCAGGGAGGCCGTGCAGCTAGGGCCAGGCGAGAGAGGGGAGCCAGCGGGGTGAGAGCAGAGGAGGAAAGGCTTGAAGATCTCCAAAGGAGCCGGAGAGAAGTAACCGAGGTATATATCCAGAAAATTATTTTACAGAAAATTACTGAATCATTACCTATGAAACGTCAGGGACGTTGCTGAATAAGTATACTGGAGAGGAACAGCATCATCACGCCGCAGCATGTTATTGTTTTAGACAGGTCTGAGCATCCTGTACTCCAAAAACTGCAGTGATATTAGACAATTGTGTGTGTAGGATTAATTACCTGTCCAAGAGAAAACTGGCAACTTGAGCGTCACTTTGAAAACCTTTTTCCTCCATCAGTGACTTCCATCGTGTAAATGCCGTGCCAATGTTGATCCGTGTTTTTTGCCGTTTCTTGTCACGCTTGCGTTTATTCTCGTCGTGTTTCCGCTTCTTAGATGACGGGGGTTCGGTGTCCGCCGCTTTTCATTGTAATACAGAGTAGGCATGATCCTCCATTCGTCTGATGTTTGGCCACACAGTGCCAAACAGTTTGCAAAGTCACTCACGCCTGCCGCCTTGTTCACCTTTCTTGTTACTGAGGCGCAGTATACCTGCTTCTTCTTCTTCTTCTTTGG